AAATAAACCAAGAAGGTTAAAGAACCTAGGTGTCATATTGAGTAATACGACATATTACTAATTACAATTACTCCTATTTTAACAAAATGATGGAAGGCTATAAAGATTTTATGTTATATATGTAGGATATAATTTTATTTTAAAATGTTAAACTGTTGAAATTTTTTTAGATAAATAGTCTTAGTTGCTGAATATTTAAATTTCGGGTCTATTGATCGTACGAGAAAAGGGGGAAAAGAAACTTTGTGCGATTAATTTGTTTATTAGCTCTCTGTGCATGGTCCATTGACTTTTACCTATTTTTTGTCATCAAAGTAATGACATATAGAAAAAAATATTATAAGAACTGATCCTATAGTCATAAAGCATGCTTCTAAGTAATTCTAAGTCAAATAAAGAAAAGTGAGTTTATATGCAATTATTTACAGTCCTATAGATATATATATATATTTGAGTTACTTAAATTTTCATTGGTTGGTACTCACGTTATTATCCGCATTTCTAATTGATTTTTCAGTGGGTGTGTGTACAATGACATAATGCTATGCATATAAATTAACTAAATAATCATAGACAGGTAGCTTATCAAAACTACAATATAACTTGAAATTTTTTTATATAATTTGTCTCATTTTTGAATTAAACAAAAAATAAGGAAAGGAGAGAAAATAGTATCAACATTTCGAAGATGTCATCAATCAGTTTTATGAACACAGCAACATTAAGTTTCATATATACATTTAGTTAAAAATGATGAATGCATTGCAGATAGTTTTACTAATTCACGGAATTTTCTTTTGAATGAATTAAAATGAATTTTTCTGTTTTGAAAGCAAAAAAAAAAAAATTTATGAACAAATTTTCTAAGTTTTGTTAAATCTAAAGAAACTCCTGCTATTTGAGCGGGAGAAACCCGTGATGCAAATTACTGTTTGTATATAATATTATTGAGTTTGGAATTCCGCCAAATAATCTGAATAATTTGCACCTAATCTAAAACATGCAAAAAATTAAAAGTACATAACAGCGATAAAGATATTCAGGATATATATATAGATAGGATAGACTGTTTTATTTTTAAATGTTAGACTATTGGAATTTTTCATGATAAATAGCAGTATTAGTTGCCGAAAAAGAAAAGGAAAAGAAGAGGAAATTTGGGGGTCAACTGGTCTATTGGCACTCCTTGCACGGCATTTCATCTTTAGATGAAATTTCCACTTGTCACCGAAAAAAGAAGAAGAAGAAGAAGAAATTTCCACTGCATTTTACGTTTTTTTTTTAAGAATCATTCAAATAATAAAATAGAGAAAAAAGACTATAAGAATTGATCTTGGTCATAAAGCCTGCTGCTAAATTAATTTTATGTCAAATAAAGACAAATGAGTCTTCTTTACGATTATTTACAGCTATATATAGAGAGACATTTAAGTAAATGACAACCAACTTTTCCAAGTTTTAGGAGTTCTCCTTGACTCGCTATAACCCTATTCGCAGTAGATTATTAATTCACAGAATTTTCTTTCAAATAAATTACGATCAATATTTCTAAGCTTTGATGGAGAAAAAATTCTTTTAAGAAGAAATTTTCTAAGTTTTTGTTAAACCTAAAGAAACTCCTGCTAACTAATTACTATTAATTTCCATCGAATAATAAGGAGTCTGTAACAATAATTAAGATTTAGGTTATAAATTTTCTTTGTATAAAGCTAGGGTTAAGGTAGATCCAGCCCCTTGAAATATTTTCTTAAGTGTATTTAGTATCTTGAAATATTTTTTTCAAATGCTTTCAACACCTTGAAGTATTTTTTGATGCATCTAATTATTTTTTCCTACCTGCTATAATGCCCATTTGGTCAATATAATTTGTTAAAATGAGACCATTTTTGAAATTTCTTTATAAGATGACTCTACAAACCTTTACTCATAGGAGATAGTCAATAATTCATCAGTATAAATAGTTCACAAACTCCTTTTTTCCCCCTTAAAAAAAGAACGAATCACAAAAAGGAGTTTGAAAATAGAAAAATTATAAATGAGGATCCGTTATAATATTAGTATTGGTTTTAACAACAATTGATAAACAAATGACAACAATTTTTATAAGCAGGTTGATTGCTCCCACAAGTGGATGGGCTCGATGTAGTAAAAATCCTAGAGTAATCTAGGGTCGTACCCACAGGGAGGTCACATTTTTACTAATCCAAATAAGTAATAATGAGAATAGATGAATTGATTGATGAGATAATATGAAATAATAAATTAAAAGCAGAAGAAAATCAAATATAAGAGGAAAATCAATCACTCAAAGCGTTGGGGTTCAGGATTTACCCTATGGGTTGATAATTTTTATCCTTTAAATTGACTCCTAAAGTGTTCCAATATTCTCTTGAATTATTAGTCCCTATTTAATTAGAGTTGAATTCGTTCCCATGACACCTAAAGAACTAACTAAATCTTGAAGCTATAGTTGTAATTCATCATAAATATCTAGAACTATCCCTAACCTAAGTATTTATGTCTACTTCTCTACATCTAGGTTCTCTCTTCACCTCCTAGTCCATCAAGATCACCCATAATTTAGATTAAATAGTGGCCAATCATAAAACCCACGTGAAAAATAAGAAAAATAGATACAAAAATCAAAAGATATTCATAAAAGTCATAAAAAGAGTCAAAACAAAACTGATAAAAACTAGCTTCCTAGTTGGGTTATATCCCCACCCCAACTGGGAAATTTAGAAACTCATAATAAAATAAACCATAAATAGTATTGTTCTAAGATCCCCAAACATGACAGAACAAAGGAAGAAGAAAAGAGGAATAAATTGTCAAAAGATCCAATAGAGGTCCTCTACTCAGCTGTTGTCACAAGATGAACAAAGATAGTAACTTTGCTGATTTGCTGTCCCAAACAATGCTTTGTTGCTGCCTCTGGGAATGCTGTCTGATGCTTGCTCTCTTCTCCCAATTGCTATATCCCCAGTTCCTATTTATAATGCTTTTGCATCTTCTCTCCCTTGGATCCCTTGAATCCACCGCTTTTTATCCATATATCTCCTTCAATATAATATATTATATTATATCATGATAATTTGCCTTACTTTACGTAACTTCACGCCTTTGACCCTCTTAATATATCTACATATATACAATTATATATATATATATAATATTTGTTGCAATTGTTTCTCCCCTTTTGTTTTATCTTTTATTTGTGATATTTCCTTCTCTCAATAATTTTATGTCTCCTGCAGTAAAAATAATAAAAGTTTTGAGTAGATTTTATGCAAGATAATCTTTTATCCTATAATTAATAAAAGAGAAGAAAATCTACAAAAAGATAATTAAATAGGTATAAGATATCCATAAATTTAACCAAATAAATCAAAATATAGACCTATTTAATTATAAAATATAGACTTATCAAATTCCCCCACACTTAATCCTTTACATTCCTGGCCAAAGATATGGAAAAACATCATGATAAACAACTGAAAACAAGTAGAGGAATTAATCAAGTTTGAGCACAAGAGTGATAATCCAATTAATTAAATTCTTCAAGTCCGCCCTAGTTAAAAAATAATAAATGTAATGGAATCAATCTCTATGAACACAATTAAGATAGAGGAACAAGATAGAGGAGAGCATTCTTAGGGATATAATTGTTTTACTCATCTCACCTTTTTTAGGGTTCTTTTACTCAAACCTACCTAAACTAGCCCCCTACCATAGGCTTGTAATAGTTTTAAGTATCTGCAGTTAGGCACATGGGCATTCTTTAATCAAGAGGTCTTAATAGGCTTCTAATGATGGAGAAAGGCTACATGGAATAGAATGTGAAAAATAGAAAGTAATAGCATGCATGTGATAATAAATAAATAGCATGAAATCATGTTATAAGAGACATAGGAGTGATAAGTGTGCTAGTAAGAATTGATATGGGTGTCTTTTTCCTTTTCGTTTTCCTCTTCTTCTTTTTTTTCTTTCTTTTTCTTGAACATTGCTTCTTTTTCTTATATTTTTCTTGCACCATTTTTCTTCTTGTTTTTTGTTTTTCATTTGGCACCCTATATATAAAAGATGTAGCACAATATCACGATAATAATAATTTTCTGACATGAATAAAAAATGCTATATAAAAAAAATTCATGCATATATACCTTCCTATAAAATTGATAGCTAATAAAAAGTTAGAGGCCCAAAGGGGGTGATTAGGGATATATTATGTGCATGGCTTCTGTTTGGGATAAAAAGGGTTTAGAATTTGAATGCCTCTATCATATTAAAAAATTGCATGAGTTAGACAACAGATAAGAGAATTAAGACAAGTTCTGAAGAGAAACTAGCATAGGAGGTAATCACACAATTTAAAAATTTAAGGCCGAGAATACTTCCAACAAGGTTATCTCTCTTACAATCCTGTTCACAGAGCCTCATTGAAGACTTTGATTGTTCTCAATACATTAAATCACTTGTCTCTAGGATGGCTCTTAGAATTTTAATGAATAAAAAATAATCACAATCAACATTGGACTTGAAGAATTCATGCAAGTATCAGTGCAATCAAGATGGTAATTTTAATGAAAAACAGGAGTCAAGAATTTAAATTCAGAAAAAAAAAATTTCAATAATGGGGCATATTCAAGAGCTTAGCTAATCAATCAGTTCATTCCCTCCCCCACACTTGAATAAAACATTGCCCTCAATGTTACAGAAAGTAAAGAAAAGAGAAAGGAACTAATACTCCCCTTATTTATATTTCTGATTATGATTTAGAGTTCTTCCTTAAGTCTATTCAATAATGCACCATCTTCCTACAAAAAAAATCTAGAGCAAGGTCCTTGTGGAAAAATTTGTCAGGATAATAGACAATAAAATGAAATATGAACAAATTAAGGAAAATAAACAAAATAAAATAAAATAAATGAAAAGCTATTGGGCTGCCTCCCAATTAGCGCTAAATTTAATGTCTATAACTAGACGCAGCTGTAGTGGGTTTAGACTTCATTAAGAGAGATGGATTTTGATGTCTCAACTTGGACTCCTCCATAATATAACTTTAAGCGCTGTCCATTAACCACAAATGTCCTTCCGTCATTAGCTTGAACTTCAACAGCTCCATACGACTTTACATCTATAACTTTAAAAGGTCCAGAGCACCTTGATCTCAACTTACCTGGGAACAGCTTCAAGCATATATTAAATAGTAAAACTTTTTGCCCAACTTTGAATCCTCTCTTCAGAATTCTTTTGTCATGCCAAGCTTTAATTCTCTCCTTGTATATATGAGCATTCTCAAAGGACTCCCTTCTAATCTCATCTAACTCATTGAGTTGGAGAACACGCTTGTCACCTGCAGCTTTCAAATCATAATTCAAAGCACGCATAGCCCAATGTGCTCGATGCTCAATCTCTATAGGAAGATGACATGACTTGCCATATACTAGTCTGTAAGGGGACATACCTAATGGTGTCTTATATGTAGTTCTATATGCCCACAATACATCATTCAACTTTAGAGACCAATCTTTCCTAAATGCACTTACAGTTTTTTCCAATATGCCCTTTAGCTCCGTATTAAAGACCTTTACCTGGCCACTAGTTTGAGGATGATATGTGGTGCTTGCTCAAAGATGACACCCATATTTGCCTAACAAGGATTTGAACTGGTGTTTCCTAAAATGCACCCCATTATCACATATGATGGCTCTAGGGACACCAAATCTAGAAAAAAATTTGTTTAACAAATCTGACCACATTAGATGCTTTGTTATTTGGCAATGCAACAGCTTCCACCCATTTAGTAACATAATCAATAGCAACAAGTATATCGAGATTACCATAGGATGGAGGAAAAAGCCCCATAAAATCAAGGCCCCAAATATCAAAAGGTTCAACCTCTAATATACCTTACTGGGGCATCTCATGCCTCTTACCAATGGTACCTGTTTGTTGGCATTTGTCACAAGTTGTCACAAAGGTCCTCGCATCCTTGAATAGTTTTGGTCAATAAAACCTACTTTAAAGTAATTTAACTGCTATCCTATTGGCCCCATGGTGGCCTCCATAAGGTGATGAACGGCATCCTTCAAGAATTTTGACTATCTCCTCATTTGGCACACATCTCCATATGCTTCCATTTGCACACCTTCTAAATAGAAGTGGCTCATTCCAAAGATAATGTCTTACTTCTGCTAGGAATCTCTTCCTTTGATAATTATTCATACTATCAGGGACTATACCTGTAACAACATAATTAACAAAATATGCAAACCAAGGAGTAGGTAGAGATTTAACCACCCAAAGTCTGTCATCTGGGGATTCTTCATTTATAGGAGTATTGTCTTGGGGTAGATGTTCTAGTCGAGATAGATGATCTACAACCAGATTTTCTACACCCTTTTTATCTCTAATTTCAACATCAAACTCTTGTAAAAGAAGAACCCATCTAACCAATCTAGCTTTAGCATCTTTTTTATTCATTAGATATTTTAGAGCTTGGCGGTCAGTATAAACAATCACTTTACAAAAAGAAAGATAGGATCAAAATTTTTCAAATGCAAAAACAACAGCCAAAAATTCTTTTTCAGTGGTAGCGTAATTACATTGTGCTCTATCTAAGACCCTACTTGCATAATAGATGACATGTAAGCTCTTGTTCCTTCTTTGTCCTACAACAACCCCTATAGCAAAATCACTAGCATTGCACATAATTTCAAAAGGGAGACTCTAATCAGGGGGAACAACTATGGGAGCAGAAACCAAAGCAGATTTTAGTTTATTAAAAGCACTCAAACAAGTATCATCAAAAATAAAAGGGGTATCCTACACATGAAGGTTAGTGAGAGATTTAGTAATTTTAGCAATGTCCAAAATGAATCTTCTATAAAAGCCTGTATGATATAGGAAACTCCTTATGCCTTTCACTGAGGTGGGTGGAGGCATATTTTCAATACTTTCAACCTTTGCCTTATCCACCTCAATTCCTTTTTCAGAAACTTTATGGCCTAGGACTATACCTTCATTCACCATAAAGTGACATTTTTCCCAATTAAGTACAAGGTGCTTCTCTTGACATCTCTGCAAAACTTTAGAAAGATTAGTCAAACAAAAATCAAAAGTATCACCAAATACAAAGAAATTATCCATAAAGATTTTAATTATATCCTCTACCATATCAGAAAATATAGCCATCATACATCTTTGGAAAGTAGCAGGGGCATTACAAAGCCCAAAGGGCATCTTACGATTAGTATAAGTACAATAAGGACAAATAAATTTGTTTTCTCTTGGTCTTCTGGTACTATTAGTATTTGAAAATACCCAGAGTAGCCATCTAGAAAATAATAATAACTATGTCTTGCTATTCTTTCCAACATATTATCCATAAATGGAATAGGAAGTGGTCTTTATGCATTGTTTCATTTAATTTTCTATAATCTATACAAACTCGCCACCTAGTTACCACTCTTGTGGGGATAAGCTCATTCTTATCATTTTTCATCACAATTGTACCTCCCTTCTTTGGGACCACTTGTATCAGACTCACCTAAGAACTGTCAGAGATGGGATAAATAATACTTGAATTAATTAGTTTCAAAACTTCTGCTCTGATTACTTCCTTCATATATGGGTTAAGCCTTCTTTGTTGTTGCATCTTAGGTGTGTAATTTTCCTCCATAAGGATTCTATGTGTACAAATAGAGGGGCTAATGCTCTTTATATCAATTATAGACCATCTAACGGCCAACTTAAACTCCCTCAGGACCCTTAATAGCTTATCTTCCTGTTCAGAATTTAAAGTAGAGGAAACAATAACAGAAAAAGTGTTAGAAGCACCTAAAAATGCATATTTTAAATTAGAGGGTAGGAGCTTCAATTCAACAGAGGGTGGTGAGTCTAGAGAGGGGAGGGGCAATAAATTGCCTAATCCTAGATCTTCATAATGCCTTGTATGACATTTATTTTCAATTTCAAAAGCATTCAAACTCATTATTGTCTCTATGAACTCATCCTCCCTTTCTTTTTCATTTAAGCTTAGTGCGATGCATGCCTCAAGAGGATCACTATAAGAGTACCTATTAAAATGTTCTTGGGCTAGTGTATCGATAACATCAATGCTAAAAACATTCTCATCAAAGTAAGGAAGTTTTGTGGCTTTAGATACTTGAAATAATTCGTTTTGGTTACTCACTTGAAAAGGTAATGTTCCTTCACATACATCAATCAAAGTCCCACTAGTTACTAAAAATGGCCTCCCTAATATTAGAGAGACATTCTAGTTATCCTCAATATCTAAAATAATAAAATCAGCAGGAATATAAAGTTTACCGACTTTAACTATAATATCCTCAACCACACCTCGTGGATATCTAATTGACCTATCTGCAAGCTGGAGAGTCACGTTAATTGGTTTAATATCTATCATCCCAAGCTTTCTGCATCAAGAATAAGGCATCAAATTAACACTAGCACCTAAATCACATATACAATTTTCAACAATATTAGAAGCAATACCACAAGGAATAGTGAAACTCCCTGGATCTTTCAGTTTGGGTGGTAGCTTCTTCTGTATAATTGCATTGCACTCCTCTGTAAGTGGCACCATGGCATAATCTTTTGACCTTTGCTTGTTTGAAACTATATTCTTGATGTATTTGAGATAAGAAGGCGTTCTTGCTAAGGCTTCTATAAAAGGCACATTAATTTGGATATTTCTTAACATCTTGAGAAACCTTTAGAAGCCTGCATCTTGATCTTTGTTTTTAAGAGGTTCAGGATATGGGATAGGAAGTACATAAGGTTTGAGCCAAGATGGAGAAGGACTACTTTGAATCACATTATTAGCTTTGGGAACTTCAATTACCTCATCATTATCTTCAGTATTTTTCTCATCACTTACCTTGTTATAAGTCCTTTAGCCCTAACGTCAGCTTCTTGAAGTTCTTTACCATTCCGTAAAGTGACTGTCATGTCTTCCTCCCTTGGATTGACTTCAATATTGCTAGGAAATTTGCTTTGACCCTGCCCAGTAAGCAAGCTAGCAAATTGCTTATTTGAGCTTCTATGTTTTTCATAGAGTTTCCTATGTGCGACTCTATGTTTCTTACGGAAGCTTGAGTTGATGCAACTACTTGCTTGAGTTGGTCAATTTCTTGATTCATGTTCTTCATATGGTTAGCTTGGTGACTGGCCATTTGAGCTAAAGTTTCGTCCAACCTCGTTGTGCGATCCTCTATTGTGTTTCTTTGCTGTTAGAAACTTGGTGGTGCTTGTGGCCTTTAAGGGGTAGAATTTTTCCAAAAGAAATTAGGATGATTTCTCCACCCTAGATTATATATGTTGGAGTACAGGTCATTCTTGGGATTGGCACCCATATAGTTAGCCTCCTTCACATAATCACCATCATTGCCTACATGAAGAGAATTATTAATAGCTGAAGTAGAAAGGGAATTAACAGAATTAAAATTTTTCACTAATAAATTCAAACTCTTTGTTAAATCCCTTAAGTCAAGAGAGATGTTTGAAGTAGTGACTTCGTTAGCCGCCACCCTCCTTCCTCAAATTGACTTTTACCTTGGATTTGATGCTAGAGTCTTGTAAATGTCCGCTCTTTCTTCAGCTGTCATGTTATTTGGACCACCATGAGCTGCATTGTCGACTTTGCTTTGATTGTTCAATGTGAGCCCATTATAGAAAAAATCCATTAAGAGTATATGTGGGAATTGATGATGACAACATTGGCTAATGAAAAGATTATACTGCTCTCATGCTTCATGGAATGACTCATCACCCTGTTGCGTGAAGAAGTGAATCTTGTTCCTTAACTCTGAAGTCTTTTGTGGTGAGTAATATTTTAGCATAAATTGCTCATACATTTGATTCCAAGATATTATAAAACCTTCTCATAATCACAGAAGCCATTGACGAGAACCTCCCTCCATACAATATGGAAAGCAATGCAACTTCAAATCATCATTTGATAAGCCATTCAATGGCAATGTGTCAATTACTGCATAATACTCCCTCATAAAATCCAAAGCATCTTCAGTTGTATGCCTATTGAAATTAGATAATGCATTTAGATGTATATTTTTAAATTCATAATTGCACGCAATAGTACTTAGCTTAATGCAAAATGGATTAGAAGTAATAAGGGGGCGTTGAATATCACAGAACGTGATATTTTGCTCTAGAACAATAGCACCATCAGCCATCCTTTTTTTTCATTGACTTATATTTTTTCTGCAAAACCGTTTAATTTCTAAATTAATTGGAGTCAAAGTAGAGTTACCATAACTTCTTAATTGCATAAAAAACCAAAAATAAAAAACAAAAATAAAAAACAAAAACTAATAAATAATAAATAAATAATAAAATTTAAAGAATTAGGAAATCAGTAGCCTCCTTGGTAACGGTGCCAAAAACTTGATCGCTACGGCAAGTGTACAGACTCGATATAGTAAAAATCCTAGAGTAATCTAGGGTCGTACCTACAGGGAGGTTGCGTTTTTACTAATCCAAATAAGTAACAATAAGAATAGATGAATTGATTGATAAGATAATATGAAATAATAAATTAAAAGTAGAAGAAAATCAAATATAAGAGGAAAATCAACCACCCAAAGCATTGGGGTTCAGGAT